TTGCCCCATATTAAAAAGCCATAGCTTTTGCCACATTTCCCAGTAAACCCAGAGTAATTTGCACTGGCCACAAAAGGACTGACACATTTCAAAAAGACTGGATGATCTTTATTTACTATGTTAATCATCACTCCCATCAGATCCAACCTCCTGCTTCACAGATGGATCTTTGGACAGACACTCTACAATCTGAGTGGCTCTTGCTAAGAACTAACTTTCTGATTCTGCTGCAGAATAACTATTCATCAGATACATACCCTTGGCCTTTGTAGTTAATTGTTGTTGGTGGTGGTGTTTTTGTCATTGTTCTACAAACTTTAGGAGTTTCATTGTAAAAACTCAATAAAAATTTAATTAGAAAAAAACCCAGAGCAAAATGTGGTGACAACAATCAGGAATCATGTGGAAAGACAGCTGCCTGTCGTTCCCTGAAAATCTGCAAAATGTAAGGGTTGAATTTGGGTGGAATTCAGGGTCGGAATAATCTGGAGGCAGTTTGAAGTATTCTGGCAACTGTTTGTTGTTGCTATTGTTGTGTGCCTTCAAGTCATTTCCAACTTTCCAAGTCATTTCCAACTTATGGCAACCCTAAGGTGAACCTATTATGGGGTTTGCTTGGCATGATTTCAGAGGTTTTCCATTGCCTTCCACTGAGGCTGAGAGCATGTGACTTGCCCAAAGTCACCCAGTGGATTTCACGGCCAAGCTAGGAATCGAACCCTGGTCTCTGGAGTGGTAGTCCAACGCTCAAACCACACCACACTGGCAAATATGACGAGCCCTAAGCGTGAAGAGAATTGTAGCCAAAATTTTCCTCCTCCCCATTTCAAATGTAATTCAATCTTCCATTATTGAAATCTGAAAATAGGATAATGTCAGAAGGGATAAAGCTAGGCAACAAGACATACAATATGAATGAGCGGACACATTTTTAGTTTTTTAGGGGCTACTGGAATGGTCCAGTGGTCTGGGATCCTGTTTCTGGAATCAGACATAGTAAGTTCAAATCCCTCCTGGTTGACCTTTTAAAACAGAGCAGGGAAGTGGTTTGAGCATCATGACTCTGGAGACCATCCACTAGGTGACCTCAGAGGAAGGAAAAGGCAACAACCCCCCCCCCCACAACTGAACAAATCTTACTAAGAAAAACCTATGATAGGATTCTTAAGGTTGCCATAAGTCAGAAGAGACTTGTAGATACACAACACTAACAATGACTGATCAGATATCTATCTCTGGATGATTCTGATGAAATTATTTTTAGTTCTATATGAAATCTGTTCCTTAGTTATAACCAGATCAGTCTAGTACATTTGATACTGTTTAGTAGCAGAAAGAAGCTTCAGCTTCCACCAGCCATTCATCAACTGACTAGAAAATTCACTAGGTGCTGCCTAGGTTATTGTTCATGATTTTCACTGATTCAAATAAAACAAAATATGTGACAATACCTACAACCTTTAATATTTCTCTTGGATCACTCTAAGTGCTACGCAAGCTGGACCAAAATAACAGTTTAAAAAAAAAAAAGAAAAGAAAAGAAAAGAAAGAAAAAGAAAAAGTGAAATTTGCTGAACAGTTCAAAATTTGCACAAAAATATCCAGGATGTCAGCCTTCATCTAGATTTAAAAAGAAATCTGAAGTGTTTGTTTGGGAGGTACCTGAAGCAGTGATGGGTTTGGTCCAAACCTTTATTACAGTCTTCATATTGATCCCATTTGCAAAAATACAGATTGAGTCTCCCTTATCTAGAATTTCAAAATCTAAACATTCCAAAAACTAAATAGGTAGCTGCGAATGTGACACTTGTGCCTCCTGATGGTTCAATGTACACAAACATTGTCTCATACACAAAATTATTAAAAATATTATATAAAATCCTTCAGATGTATGTAACAAGGTGTATATGAAAAATACCAGATTTTGTGTTTAGACTAGGGTCCCATCTCAAAAATATCTCATTATATACATACATGCAAATACAGAAATTTTTAAAAATCCAAAACATGTCCTAAATATTTCCAATAAGGGAAACTCAATTTGTACTATGTTTGGGGACTCTGTAGTCACTTTAAGGACAAACTTTAAATTGAAAGAAATTTTGACAAAGAGAAATACTTTAAATTACAGTTTATATGTGGCTCTGTGTAACATCTACCTTCTGGGACAGTATCTGAAAATGAATACCTGAAAGACTTCTTAATTTGAAATATAATTCGGGTGAGGTAATGAGAGTTGTAGTCCAACATATATGATGGATATTGAGTCCTGGAGCCTTTGGAAAAGAAAAGGTAGGATCCTCAGATTCTTAAAAGATGCTGGCCTTATTGCTCCATAGTCCCCTCTCCGTCACAGTCCTAGCCTTCCCAAATACACAATAGAAAACTTTGGGCAGGCTATCTATACCGTACTTAGAGGTTATTCTAAAGAAAAAAATCCTGGCCTGGATAAATGAATAAATCTGCTGCAAACATTACAGAGGGCATCAGCAAGGGGAAGGTAGTCTTTAAAACGGAATACAGTGGAACCTCTACTTACGAAATTAATCCGTTCCGACAACCA